TTGTTTGTTTTATGACACTCTACTCTCTACTCCCCACACCATACTTCCTACGCTCCACTCCCTATACTTCCTGCACACTCCATTCTACTGCCTGCGCCATGTGCCCTACTTTCTACTCTCTGCTCCCCATGCTCTCTTCTCTGCATGCTATGCTTTATACTCTACACTAAGGTGTCCGTTTATGAACCAGCGGTAATAGATCGCTGCTCAGTTCTCCGGCATTCTCGGAGAACACAGTTCTGTGAATGCAGTTTATGAAGCAGTTCTCCGAACGAAGGGAGAGCGGTCTCCAAACGCTGGAGAACGGTCTACAAACTCTGGAAAACGGCTGATTTTACTATAATCTCGCGAGATTACAGTAAAAGATCAGTTTACTAAGCAGAGGTAAATTATCTCTGCTTAGTTTTCGGTCCCTCTGATTCTCCAGCTCTGGGCTGGAGAATCTGGAGGGAGAACACAGATCTCCAGTGAAGGGCTGACATGATCTCCTGAGTGTCATAAACTGTGAATGACCAGAGAATAGCTGAGATCCGTTGAATCGCAGCTATTCTCTGTGTCATAAACGGACACCTAAGTTCTGTACACACTGCTCCCTACACTCTGTGCCCTTTGTCTTAAACTCTACCGCCAATGCTCTGTACCCTTCACTACACTCCTATGCTCTACTCCCTATGATTTACTCTATACACTCTACTGTCTGCACTCTACTCCCTATACTTTACTCCCTATGCTGTACACCAGGGATCTCCAAACTATCTAAGCAAAAGGTCCAGTTTACTGTCCTTAAAGTTTTAGGGGGGCCAGACTATGACCAGTGGGAGTAGAAAATGTCCTGGCATCAGTGCCCCATCATTGGTTTTAACGGGAGGAATAGTGTCACATTGATGATATTGATGAGAAGAAGAGTGCCCCACTGATGGTGTCAGTAGGGGGAATGGTGCCCCATCATTGGTGTCAGTTGGTGGAAGAGTGCCTCAAGGGCAAGATAAAGGCAAACAAAGGGGCACGTCTGGCCCCCGGGCTGCAGTTTGGAGACCACTACTCTACACTCTACTCCTTATGCTCTACACACTACCCCCTACGCTTTATGCTCTACCCCCTACTCTACATTCTACACCCTACACTCTACATTCTATGCCATAATCTCTACCCCCTATGCCCTAAATTCTACAGCCTGCGCTCTACATTCTATGCCATACTCTCTACTCCCTATGCTCTACATTCTACAGCCTACGCTCTACATTTTGTGCCATACTCTCTACTCCCTACGCTCTACATTCTACAGCCTATGCTCTACATTTTATGCCATACTCTCTACCCCCCACTCTCTACATTTTATGCCATACTCTTTACCCCCTACGCTCTACATTTTATGCCATACTCTCTACCCCCTACGCTCTACATTCTATGGCATACTCTCTACCCCCTACGCTCTACATTCTACAGCCTACGCTCTACATTCTATGCCATACTCTGTACACCCTACGCTCTACATTCTATGCCATACTCTCTACCCCCTACGCTCTACATTTTATGCCATACTCTTTACCCCCTACGCTCTACATTTTATGCCATACTCTCTACCCCTACGCTCTACATTCTATGCCATACTTTCTACCCCATACGCTCTACATTCTACTGCCTATGCTCTACATTCTATTCCATACTCTCTACCCCCTACGCTCTACATTTTATGCCATACTCTTTACCCCCTACGCTCTACATTTTATGCCATACTCTCTACCCCCTACGCTCTACATTCTATGGCATACTCTCTACCCCCTACGCTCTACATTCTACAGCCTACGCTCTACATTCTATGCCATACTCTCTACCCCCTACGCTAGACATTCTACAGCCTACGCTCTACATTCTATGCCATACTCTCTACTCCCTACGCTCTACATTCTATGCCATACTCTCTAACCCCTACGCTCTACATTCTACAGACTATGCTCTACATTCTATGCCATACTCTCTACCTCCTACGCTCTACATTCTATGCCATACTCTATACCCCCTACGCTCTACATTCTACAGCCTACACTCTACATTCTATGCCATACTCTCTACCCCCTACGCTCTACATTCTATGCCATACTCTCTACCTCCTACGCTATACATTCTACAGCCTACGCTCTACATTCTATTCCATACACTCTACCCCCTAAGCTATACATTCTACAGCCTACACTCTACATTCTATGCCATACTCTCTACCCCCTACACTCTACATTCTACAGCCTACGTTCTACATTCTATGCATACTCTCTACCCCCTACGCTCTACAGCCTACGCTCTACATTCTATGCCATACTCTCTACCCCCTACGCTCTACATTCTTTGCCATACTCTCTACCCTCTACATTCTACAGCCTACACTCTACATTCTATGCCATACTCTCTACCCCCTACGCTCTATGTTCTACACCCTACTCTCTACATTCTATGCCATACTCTCTACCCCCTACGCTCTACATTCTATGCCATACTCTCTACCCTCTACATTCTACAGCCTACACTCTACATTCTATGCCATACTCTTTACCCCCTACGCTCTACGTTCTGCAGCCTACGCTCTACATTCTATGCCATACTCTCTACCCCCTACGCTTTACGTTCTGCAGCCTATGTTCTACATTCTGTGCCATACTCTCTACCCCCTACTCTCTACATTCTACAGCCAGCACTCTACATTCTATGCCATACTCTCTACCCTCTACGCTCTACATTCTATGCCATACTCTCTACCCCCTATGCTCTACATTCTACACCCTACTCTCTACTGCTTGGCCTCTACACCCTACTCTCTATACTGGTGTATATATTATAGGCAAAAACCACTTGCCCTGCTGGGGATTTACCCCCATTCCTGACCATGCCATTTTTTTGCGATAATGTGCTGTGTTACTTTAACTGACAATTGCGCGATCAAGCAACCCTGCACCCAAATTGAATTTACCTTTTTTTCCCCACAAATTGAGCTTTCTTTCTGTGGTATTTTATCACCTGTGCATTTTTTATTTTTTTGCGCTATAAAAAAAAAAAAAAAAAAAAAGTCTACACTCTACATTCTATGCCGTACTCTCTACCCCATACACTCTACATTCTACAGCCTATGCTCTACATTCTGTGCCATACTATCTACCCTCTACGCTCTACATTCTACAGCCTACATTCTATGCCATAGTCTCTACCCCCTAATGCTCTACGTTCTACACCCTACACTCTACATTCTATGCCATACTCTCTACCCTCTACATTCTACAGCCTACACTCTACATTCTATGCCATACTCTCTACCCCCTACGCTCTATGTTCTAATCTAAAAAAGACGCTATGTCCTAGGCCAGAGCTGGGACACCTGTTGCTGTGTGTTTCTTTAGCCAGTGAGGACTGAGCCTTCTGGGATTATTGCCTGCAAAGCATATGGGACTGGATCAGTTGCACACCAGGAGTGGTGAGCAGCTCAACCTAGCCTAATTGCTTACTTCCTAGAGTTAATGCCAATAAAGATGGTCCTTTCTTAACAGCCCATTAGCCATTTCTTATGTAAAGTCCTAAAGGGACAGCTACATGTGCACCACCTACAGAAGGGCACCAGTGAAATCTGGCCAACACTGACTATTAGGCGTTAGGTACTTTTAGTCCCATCCAGGTGTACCCTTTGTCAGGAACACTTACACCCTCCTTACAGAATTACAGTGAGGTTTGCTTTATGCCATTCATGCTTTCACGTTTGATGCTATTCTTACTGATACTGCGTGGACTAGTGTAATAGGGCCTAGCCTTATTGCGGCATAAATTAATGACCTTAGGTGACACTAACCTGCAGGTTAGTTAATGTGTTGTACCCTGTTGTCCTGTTTATTTGTTCTATCAATACTGAAATGTATCAGCCGAAAATAGTGTTATTGGCATTTTTCCGATAGGAAAAAAGGTGCCAATAATGGTCTCTGTAAATGCATGATTTTACCACATGTAAGGTGAGTTTTTCATAGGTCATATGTGACTATAAAAAGCATCAAAATGCAATACGTGCTTTTTGCAGTGCCATTTGCATTTTTGAATGTGCATTTTTGACGTTTTTTTTTATGCGTTTGGCATTTTTTTTTTTTTGGTCAACTTGTTGCTGGGCAGGTTAAAAACCAAAAAACGCATCAAAAACGTTACATTTCTTATGCATTTTTAGAGCGTTTTTAATGGTTTTCAGACCTGGTTCACACCAATGCTGTTTGTGTGTTGTCCTTTGCAGTGCATTTTTACATGCGCCTTTTTGATGCTTTTTTAATGCATTTTGTGTTTTTTTTTGTATTTTTTTTATCAACTTGTTGGTGGGCCGATTAAAAACGCATAAAAATTACAACCCATATGCAATTTTGATGCATTTTTAAAGTATTTTCAATGCATTTCAGGAAACCATGTTGAATGGACTGTAGTGCGTTTCTGCAAAAAGCCCTAAAAAACACATTGGTGTGAACCAGGCCTCAATGAGGAGGTGCATTTTTGGTGCGGGTTTTTTTTCTTTCCAAATATGCACCAAATATGCAGCAAGCAGTATTTTAAACACTGCAAGGGAAGCGCAACAAACCAGTGTGAAGACATACAATTCAAAGGGATGCATTTTTCTTGCGCTTTTCTTATGCCCTTTTTTTAGCGCAAACGCGCTGCAAAAACTGCTCAGTGTGAAAGCAACATATTAGCCAAAAGATGCTGAAAATAAATTCATATTCATTTAAATTCATAATATTAATGAAAAAGTGGAATATAATACAATGATATATAAAAAATATTTATCTTTAAAAACTGCCAATTTTGGTTTCAGTTTTCGGTCAAATGCATCCTGAATTTTCGGTTTCCTTCCACCACTATTGCTTACCCTTTAAAAATACATACATACTATTAATTTATAAGTTGCTTGTGGTCTATTTTCTTTGTAGTGGTAGAAGATTAATGTTTAACCTCCCTGGCGGTATTCCCGAGTGTAGCTCGGGGTAAAGTTTCAGTACCAAAAGCGGTAACCCCGAGCTACACTCGGGCTTACCATGCGGCGTTGCTCAGGGATTCCCTGCAGCACTTACCTTGTCCTTCGCTCCCCCGATGTGTCCCCTGCAGCGTCCCCGGCCATCTCTGGCCGATGCCGGCATCTGGTTTCCGTGTTCCGGTCCCTGCGAGCGTCGGGACGTAAGGGGGCCGGAACGGCGGCAAATGTAAATTGTCATTTTCTTAGAAATGAATTTGACATAGTAAAACATTACTGTATCAAACCATTTCACATACATTTTGTCCCTAGTACTTTGTCCTGTGCCCTGCCTGCATTTTGACTGTTCTTTCTGCCTGGAAACTTAGAAAAGTCCATGGCGTCCAAAAAACGTCCTTTAGGTCAAAAGCGGTTTTAGACCGACTAGAGAACAGCGATAGTAAATCAGAACCACTTGCAGAATTGAGTGATAATGATTTGTGGGGAAATTCGTCATCAGACACTGAAAACGATTTTGCAACTTTGCTCAGCGATGTGCGAACTTGGCGCTAGATTTCAAATTTCAGTGTTTTTGGTTTGATTATATTATTGAATTCAATTTATTATTAATATATTATTATTTTTTGATGATTATTTATTAGATTATCATTTATGATTTTGTGTTTCAAGTTTTATCCTACCCGGAATGTGTACTAGACTCTTGTTTGGACAGATTTCAGTGAGTTATTCCTAAAAATGACAGGCCTACAATAAAAAAAAAAATTCATATTTCCATGCAAAAAAAGTACTGCTTTCAGCACAGAAATATGGACATAATCAGACCGCTAGGGAGGTTAAGTCACTCACGTCTGTCTGCGGGGACTGAGCAGCTTAAACAGTTGTGGTAGAGCAGGGAACTCATTATCAACAGTGGTTCCTGTGGGGGTAAGCGCTACATTTCCCTCAATTTATGATCATTGCTGGCACCATGCTACATATCTGGTGGTCCTGCCCTCCTATCAGATTTTGCTGTAACACCAATCTAAAACTATGCCACCAGATAACGGGAATGTTCACCATGGCTCAGCTGTGACAGTAAAAAGGGTCTGCTCTGCTTTGTTTTATCTGCAGGTGAGCCGTGATTCCTAGGCTTTGGAGGACAACTTTCATTTTCAGTATCAAGGACTGGTTTACCTATGCAGGCCATAGATGGGTCGTTTATCGGGCGAATTTTTGTTTGCATGAAAAATCGGCTGATATTCACGCCGTTAGTGGTGCCAGCCCGTCGGCCGTTTTTCGTGGACATTGGTGGCAGCATCGACAATGGCACCGACCGATTTTTCGTTTATCGGCCGACAATTCGGCCCGTCTATGGCCTGCATTAACCCCCCTGGCGGTATTCCTGAGTGTAGCTCGGGGTTAACTTTCAGTACCTGAGCTACACTCAGGATTACACTGCAGCGTTGCTCAAGGATTCCCTCCAGCACTTACCTTGTCCTGCGCTCCCGCGTTGTCCCCCCTGCAGCGTCCCCAGCAATGTCCTCCGGCCGATGCCAGCATTTGTCTACCGGGTTCCGTTCCCTGCGAGCGTCGAGACGTACGGGGGATGGAACCGGCGGGAAATTAAAAAATTTAAAAATGTGACATTCACTCAATACACTAAAATCACATAGTAAAACATTACTGTATCAAAGCATTTCACATACATATTGTCCCTAGTGCTTTATCCTGTGCTTTGCTTGCGTTTTTACTGTTCTTTCTGCCTGGAAACTGAGAAACGTCCATGGCGTCCAAAAAGCGTCCCTTTAGGTCAAAAGCGGTTTTAGACCAGATAGAGAACAGCGATAGTAAATTAGAACCACTTGCAGAATTGAATGATAATGATTCGTAGGGGAAATTCGTTATCAGACACTGAAAACGATTTTGCAACTAAGCTCAGTGATGTGCGAACTTGGCGCTATATTTCAAATTTCAGTGTTTTTGGTTTGATTACATTATTGAATTACATTTATTATTATTATATTATTATTTTTTTATGATTATTATATTATAATTTATGATTTCGTGTTTCAAATTTATCATACCCGAGATGTTTACTAGACTCTTGTTCAGACAGATTTCAGTGAGTTATTCCTAAGAATTACAGGCCTACAATAAAAAAACAACATATTTCCATGCAAACAAATGTACTGCTTTGAGCACAGAAATATGGACATAATCAGAGGGAGGTTAACTTAACCATATTATGAAGATGGGGGAATTACAGAAATACCATTTCTTCCCCTCTTTCTTCTTACTTTTTCTTCTTTTTGTTCCTTTTTGGCACCCAGCTTTTAGCTTGCCTAATATTGAATGAACCTTGTACCTATACTTCTATAATATAATGGTATGTTTTCGTCTATCTTTCATGCCTTCCACACAGTATTTTATTTATCAGAATTTCCCTTTTCTGTGTCTACATTTTTTGAGTAAAAAAAAAATGTTATTCTTTTAAATACAGAAAAAAAAATTCTTTATTCCTATCTCCTCCATATTTAAATAAAGTTTACAATATTATCCAGTGTGTTCTCTTATACAGTTGCAAGAAAAAGTATGTGAACCCCTTGGGAGTACGTGGAGTTTTGCATGAATTGGGCATAAAATGTGCTCTGAACGTCATCTAAGTCACAACAATAGAAGAACACAGTCTGCTGAACATAATACTACACAAACATTAGATGTTGCCATGGTTTAATTGCACATAACATGTAAACATTCACAGCGCAGGAAGGAAAAAGTATGTGAACCTTTGGACTTAATAACTGGTTGACCCTCCTTTGGCAGCAATAACCTCAACCAAACGTTGCCTGTAGTTGCAGATCAGACCTGCACAACGATCTGGAGTCATTTTGGACCACTCCTCTTCACAAAACTGTTTCAGTGTAGCAATATTTCTTGGGATGTCTGGTGTGAAACGCTCTCTTAAGGTCATGCCACAGCATTTCAATCGGGTTGAGGGCAGGACTCTGACTGGGCCACTCCAGAAGGCGTATTCTGTGCTGTTGCAGCCATTGTTTTGTTGAGTTACTTGTATGCTTTGGGTCATTGTCCTGTTGCATCACCCATCCTCTGCGGAGCTTCAGTTGGCGGACAGATGGTCGTACGTTTTCCTGCAAAATGTCTTAATAAACCCTGGAATTCATTTTCCCATCAATGACAACAATGCGTCCAGGCCCTGAGGCAGCAAAGCAGCCCCAAACCATGATGCTCCCTCCGCCATGCTTTACAGTGGGGATGAGGTTTTGATGTTGGTGTGCTGTGCCTTTTTTTCTCCACACATAGTGTTGTGTGTTCTTCCCAAACAACTCAATCTTGGTTTCATCTGTCCACAGTATATTTTGCCAGTAGTGCTGTGGAACATCCAGGTGCTCTTTTGCAAACTTCAAACGTGCTGCAATATTCTTTTTGGACAGCAATGGCTTCCTCCGTGGTGTCCTCCCATGTACTCCATTCTTGTTTAATGTTTTCCTTATTGTAGATGTGTCAACAAAAATGTTAGCATGTGCCAGAGATTTCTGTAGGTCTTTAGCTGACACTCTGGGATTCTTCTTTACCTCATGCAGCATTCTGCGCTGTGCTCTTTCAGTCATTTTTACAGGACGACCGTGCCCAGGGAGAGTAGCAACAGTACTAAACTTTCTCCATTTGTAGACAGTCTGTCTTACCATGGACACATGAACATCAAGGCTTTTGGAGATACTTTTGTAACCCTTTCCAGCTTCATGAAAGTCAACAATTCTTGATCGTAGGTCTTCTGAGAGCTCTTTTCTGCGAGGCATGGTTCACATCAGACAGTGCTTCTTGAATCCAGTAAACCCAAAACAGGTGTGTGTTTTTTAGGGCAGGACAGCTGTCAGCAACACATCCAATATCATCACACTGATTGGAGTCAAGGTTGGCTCACTCCTGGCTCCAATTAGCTCTGGGAGAAGTCATTAAGCTAGGGCCTCCCATACTTTTTCCTCCCTGCATTGTGAATGTTTACATGTTATGTGCAATTAAACCATGGCAACATCTAATGTTTGTGTAGTATTATGTTCAGCAGACTGTGTTCTTCTATTGTTGTGACTTAGATGACGTTCAGAGCACATTTTATGCCCAATTCATGCAAAACTCCACGTACTCCCAAGGGGTTCACATACTTTTTCTTGCAACTGTACATCTTCTATTTAGGCGTCTATAATCAACATGTATTGAAACCAATACCAGGCAAGGTCATCCAGTGCCCAGGACAAAGATGACAAATTTCACCACCCCCCTAGGTGGAGTAGGGGACAGGGCTAATAGTGGCATGCAGCTAAAAATGTGTGCAACTCCAAGCCGAAACCTATGTAATAGTTGTGGAATGAGCCACAATGGTGCCAGTGGTTGCAGCACACCACACCAAGCTGTATAGCAATTCAATTAAACTACAATAGAAATAGTGTCCACCTTAGGGTTGAATTACTAAAAATGGAGAGTGCAAAATGGTGCAACTCTGCAAGGAAAGCTTCCAGTTGTTTTTTTCTTTGTTTTTTTGGGGTCAAAGCTTGACCCTAGGTTCACATCTGTGAGGGTGGTGCCGCTGCGGATCCACACGAAAATCCATGCAGCCGCACCACCCGCACAGAGAAATGGAGACCCGCGGGTGCCATTAGTTCTAATGGCACGCTGCCCGTACTGGAAAACGCAACTGTACAGGGAACTGAGGTTTCCGTGCGGGCTGCATTTTCCAAAAAAGTGCAGGGACTTCTTCCCTGCGTGTCACGGGCACGGGAGTCCATTCAAATGAATTTTCTCTATAACCATTGCACAAGCACCGACCTACCAGGATAAGAGGCACCCTATGGGCACTGAAAGTCACTTTTGAACTGTTTTCCTATTTATTTTATGCTCATTTATGAACTTTTATTTAGTACCCTTTTATCAGGTGTACGGTCAGATTTTTAATATTATTTAGCGCTGCACTATTATTGTTTTATTGAGGTTTTGTTCTGATTACCTTTGTGCATAGCTGCTCTTCCTTCGTGCGCTCACATATTTCTACCTTTTATATTTATCTAAGTGTGTCTGTAGTTAAAGTAGAATTCTAGGCTATACCTAACCAATCTTAAATCCTTTGCCCTCTTAACACTTATGCTGACTAACCTGTGTAGGAAAGATGTATACTGTATACTTTCCCGTTTTTAGCCTGTTCTGGTCTGGTCATGTGATCCCCTGTGACAGCCAGCAGCAGCTGCAGGGGAGAGGTGAGGGTGCTCAGCAATAGCTATTAGTGCCTGAGAGTGGTGACCTCACTCATAGGCTCCTATGGCCCATCCATTGTTGGCTGTCCCTCCTCTCCCCTGCAGTCATCAC